TAATCTTTTTGTGGCATATATTGTATTTGTTGGATTAACAACGGCCTTAAAAAAAGGGGAAAAAAAGATTAATTAAAATTTTCTTGGTAATAATCAATCAATAGATTAACTTTCTTAAAAAATTATTAACCTGGCGCTTAGCAGCTTGACCAACCAATAATTCACCATCTTTTGATATTGCTATTATTGATGGTGTTGTTCTTGCACCTTCTGAATTCTCAAGCACTTTTGGTGAATTACCTTCCATTACCGCCACACAAGAATTAGTTGTGCCTAAATCAATACCTACAACAGGCCCGCTAACACCAGTGCTATATGATTTATTAAATCCGATTGCGAGTGATGGCTTTGTATAATAAATATAATAATCATCAGTATTATTAATATTATCAGTATGGCAAAGGAAAATTTTCCAAATTCATTTCCTATTGAACTTTGATGATATAAATTATATATATGCTAATATAATACAAATAATTACCATAGTACGCCATAGCGTATGTTTTGAATAGGTCGAGGACGAGCATTTTACTAAATTATACAACATTAATTTTTTTTTATCAACTTCTTGATTGTGTTACGTTGATGGATTATTTTTTTTTTTATGATCACCTAAATTTGTAATTAGATAACAAGTTTACGAATGAGAACGCAAAGTGAGCTTAACTAATAACTACCCAGTAAACACATATTTGCGTAGGTACATGTTCAATGATTTCGTAATGAACACGTTAATAACAATAAATGATGTGTATAGGAATAAAAATGTTAGCTGAAATGGTTTTTGAAAAAATCAATTTCGGCAGGCAATTTTGGATTTATAATATTTTCATAATGATGGACATAAAAAAACTACCCAGAATTTTGGCTATTGAGTTAAAGTGTTCAAATAATTTTGAGTATAATTTTGGCAATTAATAAAGTTAATTTCGGCAACCATGAAAAACTATTTCGGCATTTCGGATTCGGTGACAATCATTTACTAATACCAAGTGAAGTAATTTTGGCTAACATCTTTATATATGAACATATGTTAACACTAATATGGTAATGTGCATGACATGACAATAAATGCGTCCACGCAATGTAAAATTACCAAGATCTTTGATAGATGGCTGCTTATTTTTACAGTAATGGAATCAAATTATGCTTACTTTCCTGCCACACAAAATTAATTTTTGTTTACGCGTTTTTTCCTCTTAGCATTATCCAATGACCTCCGCTTGCAGATGTCCCAAGATCTTCATCAGTTATAACATAATTATCACTTTCCAATTTTGTTTCTCCTTCCCACTTACAAAGAGTTTTTCCATCATTTGGACAATTTTCAAAATCACCTTCCGTTGGATAACCAAATATAACTGTTGAGACATTAGCTCCTACATTGAATTTCCAACAAAGAGGTCATGTAAGGTCATGTATATTGTTGTAATTTATTACCCACCGGATTGTTAAATGCAAACCTCATCAAGCCATAATCAGAAAGATCATTATTCTCACGAAAGTCATCTGTCGATTGAGCTACAACGACAGGGAATTCGTCCAAGTTGACCATCTTGTCCGTGGTAATACCCAGGAGAAAACATTAAATTACTAAACATTGTTTAAGCAAGGGTCTCTTCGATATTATATTTATGGATAATTGGAGTTGCGTAACTTGAATCAGTTATGGCCATCATTGCAATTAATGCAATTAGTAAATAAAGCGTACTTTTCTTATTCATTTTTATTAATTTCGATAAAAAAATTATAAGATTGTTAAAGAAATGAACTATAAGAAGATAATGTTGTAGATGGTATTTTCGTTACTTCTACATTTAAAAAATTATTAACAATCAATCACCTTTGAAAAGAGATATTCACTTCATCTCATTTTCGTTCTGCTTTAGTCTATGTCGTTGATCAATAAATTATATACGAGATCAAAACGTAAATTGCAAAAAATTGATCCAAGTGGGTTGTTGCATCTCCAAAGCATCGAAGACCTACATTGATATATTTTTCAGAGAGGCATTCATCTCCTTTACTATATGCAATTTCTTTGGCGATATCTAAAGTTAGATTTGCCATTTGCAACTAAACTTAATATTTATTTTATATTAATTTTCAAAATACCGGATATTTTTATTATTATTACTAGCAATCTTGTATGTCCTTGTGTCCATCCGTATTTGGTTTTTTAAAATTATTAATATTAATTTTATAATAAAAATAATTTTTTGTTTTTATTTTAAATGTCTGTTTATTTATTATTAATGTGTTATATATATATTTTGTGTAGTTAAATAATTACAGTGCATTGGTAATATATACCAATGTTCACTTTGTCTGGTTGGTATTTTTGTTATTATATATAAAATTTGTATTGTGAATATTTTTTTTCTTTATTTATTTACTATAGCCTTAAAGCCTCCTTATATACAATGTTTTTTGTATAAATTCCGACCTTGACCTGTACTATTCCGTTATTTACCAATGCATTGAGATTACATGATTTATATACTCTTGACATAGCTACATATAATTGTCCATGAGAAAATGGGCTGTGGAAGATATAGGCCAACATAGGGCAGCATTTGACCTTGAGATTTGTTGATAGTCAAGGCAAATGCTGGCTGTACAGGGAATTGCGCAAAAGGTAATATGGTATCTTCTGTTGACATAAAGGGATTCTAAGGATAAATACACATTTACCTTGATGGTCTCCTGTTATTATTTCAGTGTCAATTATTTGGGATTGGAATTGCTGACAGATAAATCTTGTTCCATTACAAAGTCTGTTGACTGGATATAGGTTTCTATGCAAGATGATAGGAGCATTGACTTTCAGAGTGAGACCTTGAGATGTTATGGAATTATGATATTTAATTGGGTATAGATTTGTTTTGCCTTCTGGTATTGAATCAAAGCTATAATATGTATACTGTTCTCCAGGATATTTGGCCATAATTTGCCCATTGATTTCATCAACATCATTGTTTAATGGGGGTTAGTATTGCTCTTTCCATTATAAAAGTAATGTTCATAGAATTTTCAATGAGATTAAGATAACAGTATTTACATATGTAAACTCAATAGGTCGGTTTTGGCCAAAAAGTTTCGCCCCTTTTTTTTACTATATATTTGATAAGTTGGTCAATCTATATGGGCCATGCTGCAACAAAACCAGACAAAGTGAACATTGGTATTACCAAGAACTTTAGGGATCGAAATTTAGTAATGTGATTATTAAAATCACCCATTTGTTATCTTCTTGGTATTAAGTGATATGTAGAATTATCTCTATATAAAAATAGTTAATATGAAACTCATTTACATCAGATCTACTATGGAACCCAAAAATTACAGCACCATTAG